TGTTTCCTTAGTTTGACATTCAAGAAACTACGTGCCTGGCATTTAATCAACATTCAGCCCAATTTCTTGTCACTATGAATGCCCTGTCCTCTGACCGAATCTATCACTTAATCAACTCAGGCCTTTGTGCTTATATGACTGGTTTTGTATTGCCGCTCAGGCTGTTTTTACAAAAAGCCCTAAATATGGTCTGACATAAGCAAAATAAATGGGTTTATAGGAATTTTATCTAAGATTACTCTTAACATTTTTAAAGTCATAAATTTACATCATGAATTATTGATTCATTTTACACTTGAATTACATTTTTTCCACACTACTGAAACAAATGTTTACCATATTTGCACCACACTACTGAAATACTTAATTGCAATATGAAGTTTTCTGGGTTTGATTTTTTTTGATGTTTTTGCTGATTTTTCCTCTTCTCTACTTTTAAAAAAATCAGACAAATTCTTTCAGAAATCTCATATTTCAGAAATCCTTTTAAATATATTTATAAATAAAAAATACTTTCAATTTATATGCTATAATATGGTTGTATATATATATATTCCCAAGATTTTCAAGGTCAGGGAGCAGTTGTTCCAGCTTATGATAGCAATCATATAGACAGCTTGAATTGATATGCCTGCTATTCTTGCTACATACGACACTGGTGTGAGGGGATGAAAAACAGAATCAGGGGGCCAGCAAGTGGCACAGTGGTTAAGGAGCTGGATTTACATATGGGTGACCATGGTTTGGACCTGGATCCAGCAGCTTGAAAATCACACCAGGTGAGTATGCATGCATGCCCAAAATCCAGAAAGAAGAATGGAGGAGAAGGGGTTGTGGCATGGCCATCCCACCTCCAGGGTGATTTCTCACTTTCATTCCCGCTCTCTCTCTCTGTTTCTCTCTGATGAGAGCACATGACCTATAACAAAAATAAATAAATAAATAAATAAATAGAATTTAAAAAGATACCAATTACAAGCATTTTTTTTTCTTTTCTCTAGAGTTAAGGAGTGAAGCACCAAAGTGCATCCACAAGAAGAAAAATTTTCTTTATGCAGATATATTAAAAATAAAATTTAGGGCCAGCCAGTGGTATGGTAGTTAAGGAAGCTGGATCCCATGTGGGAGCAACTAGAGAAGGGATTGTGGTGTGGCTATCATCCCTGTGAGGTGATTTCTCACTTTCCCTCTCTACCTCTCTATCTCTGGTGAATTCACATACTCTATAGCAAAAAAAAAAAAAAAAAAAAAAAAAAAAAAAAAACAAAAAAAAAAAAA